GTGTGTGTGTGTGTGTGTGTGTGTGTGTGTGTGTGTGTGTGTGTATGTCAGTGTGTTATTCAGGTAAATCCAAGGAAATTCAAGCAAAACAACATTGAAATTCAATTGCAAAATTAATGAATGAATGAATATTTGCAATTGAATTTTCTCTACATAAACTTTTCTTCACACAAACAAATTGGACTAGAAAATTTTGTTTTTTTTTTGGGTGATGAGAATATTTTGTTGTTGTTGCTGTTGATGGAAAAATTTGATGGATTAACCTTGAGGAATTGAGAAATTCTATCTAACAACAGCCAAAATCCAATCAGAGATTTGATTCGGATTAATGAATGAAAAAAAAACACAAGAAAAAGTTTTTGTCCAAAAAGAGTGATTTATGAAATTTTCAATTGTTTTTTCTTACTTTCTTTGGACTATCAATCAATCAATTCTTTCAAAACAAAACAAACATGATGATCGATGGATGGTTGGTTGGATGTTTATTATTATCATTGCTGTTTTGTTATTTTTTTTGTGACCAGAAAATTTTTGTCGTCTTCGTCGTAGTCGTCGTTGTTGTTGTAGATGTTCCTGTGTTTAATCAATGAAACAGTAGAGAAAAAAACAAAATGAATAGAAATGATGATCACTATTTTGCAATTTATGTCATTTCGAAATAAATAATGAAAAAAAAACTCGATTAACCAAAACGATAACGATTAGGCCGGATGTCTGTGTAATGTCGATCAAAAACCAAAAAAAAACAAACAAACAACTAAATGGTGATTATAATCAATATTTTTAATTTTTTTCCTCTGGATATCAACAACAAAAAAAATGTTGATAATCGGAAATAACTACAGTGGAAAAAAATATGAAGGGTTTCTTCGATTGATCATCCGCATAATATTGGCCACAATCAAATTTTTTTCCGGAAATTTTTTTTCAACAAAAATAGAAACTTTCATTTCTGTCAAATCTGATCTGTGGAACGTGATATTGGAAAATACCAGGAATTATTCAAATTTCAAATTTGTTTTCTGAAAATTTTAATTATTTTATTAATAATAATCTTTAGTTATAATCAAATTAAAAATTTTATGAATAAATTCATAATTTTTTTTTCTTGTTAAAAGAATTTTCATTTTTTGGATAAACGGGTTGTGAGGAAAAAAACATAAAATTATTGTAGCATAAAACATTTGAAATTGAATATTTGTCAAAAATCTCAAATTGTTGTCAAAATGTAATAATATAATTTGTGTGCGTGTTCACTTTTGTGTGTGTTTTTTTTTGAATAAAACCGGGTCAATATGTCATTATATAATAACCCTGAGGCATTTTTCTGCTTTTTTTAACTCCATTCACGATTGTAATCATTCAATCCAAATTTTTTTTCGGTTGTCTATTTAGGCTCCCAATCGAATTGAATATGGTGATGTTGTACGTTGTTGTTGTTGTTGTTGTTGATCTGCTATTTTTTTCGGTGAATGTCGTATTAAATCATGTGTACGATGATGTGGTAACGTTGATGATGTTGTATATAAAGGTTGTTGATGTTTTGAAGATGGTAATGTTCCATTTGCAAATGTAACTTTTTGTTGTGTATTAGTAGGCATTGTTGCCGTATCAATTACTTTCTGTTGAATATAACTGTCCATTTTTTGTGGTACTGGATGTTGATGTTGATTAGTGGTAGATTGTTGTTGTTGTTGTTGTGCACCAGAAAAGAATTTATTCTGTGCTCGACGTAATCGTACACAATCTGGACACATTTTACAACGAAAATGTTCTTCACAATATGGTTCACCTTCAAATTCAAAGTAATTTCCATTTTTCAATGCACATCCACAATCCTAATAAATATTAATATTAGATTTGAAATAAAATTTCAAATAGAAAAAAACCATAAACATACCCGACAAACGAAACAATCGGTATGATATTTCGAATTCAATGCTGTAACACAAATCTTGTCGACAATTGGTTTATTACAGCCACGACAATACGGTGCAAACAATTCAATATAACATGGACGACAATAACCCTTGGAATCATGTTCATGATAGCCATCAGGATCATCGCTCATTGCTTTATTACAATGAGCACAAGTAAAATGTTCAGGATGCCATGTTTTGTTCAATGCAGTCAAACATTTCTAAATTTTCATTGTTGGATTAATAAATCAGACAATTTTGATTTTGATTTTCAAAGATTCTACATTACCTCAACAATCGGTGCTTCACAAGCGGCACATTTAGGTGAAAACAATGCATGATAATCAGCTTCACAATATGGTAGGCCATCTTTTTCACGGAAAGCATTCAAATCCAATGGTACACCACATTGAACGCAAGCAAAACATTCTGGATGCCATGTTTTTCCCAATGCTGATACGACTTTCTATTTTATACAATTAAACAATAGAAAAAATCAATCAACTTCATTGAATAAAATTAAAATAAAACTTACATCAGTGATTGGTTTTTTACATGCAAAACATTTGGGCAAAAACAATTCGCCAAAATGAAATTTGCAATATGGTTTACCATCATGTGTTTCAAAATCATTCGGATCCAATACACGATCACAGGATGGATGTGAACAAACAAAACATTGTGGATGCCATTCTTTACCCAATGCAAAAATAGGCTTTACACAAAAAAAAACAAAATGATGATCATCAATTGAATTAGAATTCATCATCAAATACATACCCGTTCTTTAATCGGTTTGTTGCATGCACAACATTTTGGTGAAAATAATTTATGATAATCATTTTCACAATATGGACGGCCATTCTTTTCATAATAATTATCCGGTGATAATGGTATATGACATTTATCGCAATTGAAACATTCCGGATGCCAATCATGACCCATAGCTCGTAATGGCTGTTGAAAACAAAACAACGACATTATTTTCGTTAGAAATAAAAAGAAAAAAAACTTACAGTTCCTTTAATTGGTTTCGAACATCCATAACATTTTGGCATAAAAAGTTTATCAAAACAATTAGGACAATATGGACGACCATTCTTTTCCAAAAAGTTATCCGGTGATAATGGTACTCGACATTTATCGCAATTGAAACATTCTGGATGCCAATCATGTCCCATAGCTCGCAATGGCTGTTGAAAACACAATAACAATAGTAATTTTTCATTATGACATATTAATATTTAAAAAAATAAAACATACAGTTCCTTGAATTGGTTTTGAACAAGAGAAACATTTCGGCAGGAAAAGTTTATCAAAACAATTCGGACAATATGGTCGACCATTCTTTTCTAGAAAGTTATCCGGTGATAAAGGTACTCGACATTTATCGCAATTAAAACATTCCGGATGCCAATCATGACCCAAAGCACGCAACGGCTATGAAAAATACAGATGTTTATACGATGATTTATTATATTTAAAACAAAAAACTTACAGTTCCACGTATTGGTTTTGAACAGGCAAAACATTTTGGTGAAAATAATTTATGATAATCATTTTCACAATATGGTTTACCATTTTTTTCATAGAAATTTTCCGGATCCAATGGTATTTTACATTGATGACATTGAAAACAATTTGGATGCCAATCTTTACCCATTGCACGTATATAATTACTCTACAAAATAAACATAATCGGTTAATAATCAATAAATAATTGTCATGTAAATTAGAATAAGCAAAGCATAGGAAAAAAAAGCAAAGGAAAAAAATAAAAATAAAGGTGATGCAAACATTGTTTTTTGACTGCCATATATTGCATTGAAATTGTATGACATATATTTACATCTTTAATTGGTTGTTTACAACCAGCACATTTTGGTGAAAATAAACGATGATAATCATCTTCACAATATGGTAGACCATTTTTTTCATAAAAATTATATGGATTCAATGGTTTCATGCATTCGGTACATTGAAAACAATCTGGATGAAAATTTTTACCCAATGCTGATACATAATTATCCTAAAAAATGTTTGAATGAATAAAAATTTTAACCAAAAGAACAAAAAAAACAAACAAACAAACGCAATCATGAAACACAAAAATAAAAAAAACAAATTTAAAGCCAATGAAAACAAAAATACGACGGACAAAATAAGCAAACAAAAAGAAAAATACTCGAGCCACCGTGCAAGACAAAAGACAATGATTTCATTTCGAGCTATATCCAATCGAACCAATGAATAATTACTTACATCCACGATTGGACCTTGACAACCATCACAATCTGGTCTAATTGGTGGTAAATTATGACCGGTATCCACATGATAGGATTCAATCGGTCTAGATGGTTTTTCTTGCAATAATGGTTCTAATAATGATTCAATATCTATTTCCGGTGGTGGTGGTTGATGTTGTAATAATGGTGTAGAGGTTTTGGGTGGTGGTGGTGGTGGTGTAGGTCGATTGTAAAGAGCATCACAATCTGGATGCCAATATTGACCTTTATTAAACACTGGTTTACCCTTGTTTTTTTATATGAAAAATAGTTTTTTTTCATTTTGTTGTTTGAAATAGAAAGATCAAAGTGGTTATAAAGGATAAATGAATGAAAAGGAAAAAGGAAAAAATTATTGATGTGTTAAAAAAATAACTTACATCAGTAATTGGTTTAGTACAACCGGCACATTTTGGTGAGAAAAGATTATGATAATCTTTTTCACAATAAGGTTTGCCTTGATATTCTTTGAATGTTTCTGGTGTTAATGGTTTAACACAAACAGTACAACGGAAACATTCTGGATGCCATGGATGGCCCATTGCAATCATTTGACGACCCTTTTGTAAAACAATAACAACCGAAATCAACATCAAATGTATTTGATTTGTAAATAAATTACTTACATCAGTAATTGGTTTTTTACAACCATAACATTTTGGATGAAATAGATCCATATAATCTTTTTCACAATAAGGCAAACCATTCTTTTCATAGAAATTACGTTCTTCCAATGGTATACCACAATGTGTACATTTGAAACATTGTGGATGCCACATTTTACCCAATGCATTAATTGCTTTCTACAAATATCGATGATTTGAAAATTGAATTGATTTTTTTTCAGTGAAATATACGACAAAAATTACTTACATCTTTGATAGGCAAATGACAGACACAACATTTTGGTGAAAATAATCGATGATAATCTTCCATACAATATGGTGATCCAAGACGTTCAACAAAATTATCCGGTGTTAAACGTTTACCACATTCAACACAGCAAAAACATTCCGGATGCCAGATTCGATTCAAAAGATTATATCGATTCTGTTTGATTTTCAATTAAATATCATATTTGATGAAAAACAATTTTCATAATTTTTTCGTATTTTTAAATACTTACACTTTGTGTTGGTTTTTTACACACATTACAAGGTGGTCCAAACAAACGTAAATGACAATCTTTACAATATGGTTTATCATCTTCAACAACATATTTATGTGGTTTAAGAATTGTATCACAATTTGTACATGTGAAACATTCCGGATGCCACATTTGATCTAATGCGGTTACAAGCTAAAAAAATTTTTTTGGATAAATAAACAAGATGATAATGATGAAGATGATAAAAACATACCGAACCGACAATATATTGACCACAAGCACCACATGGTCCTTTAACCGGTGGTGGTGTATATTTATAATCCAAATGATGTGAATGATATTTGCAATTATGTTCACCATGTTGTTCGATTTTATCTTTTGGTGATGGTGTACGTGTTTCAATATATTTTTGTGGTACAATTAATTGATGTACAGGACTTGGTGCACGTGGATCCATTGTTGGTGCTGGACTACGATCACGACTTTCAGTTTTACGATGTGGTAATGGTGATTTTGATGCTGTTGGTGGTATCATAGCAAAATCATTGTATTCAAATTTTTCACCTTCTTCTTTAATACGATGTGCTTTACGTGTATGAGTTTTTTCAATTGTATGTAATGAAATATCTATTTTTTTTAAAAAATAAACCAAACATTTGAAAATAAACAACACACAATAAACAAAGGGTAAAATATCATTCAATCATACACCAATCAATAAATAATAGGAAATCAGAATCCAAATGGAAAACCACAAAAACAAAACAAACAAAAAATAATCTTTTTTCACTTTGTATATTGTCAATCTGTCATAGATTGGCAATTGAAAGAATTTTTACGATGATGATCTTGTCACATCAGATACACAAGTTCAAGTGAATAGAAAAAAGAGAATTTTTTTTTAAATTCAAACCAAAACTTATTCTGAATATTTTGAATGGCCATGGTTTGGCATCAAAACAGTTTTCTTAACACATCAAAACATATATTCATTATATACGTCAACCATATCTTATGAACCAATTTTTCTCTATTTCATTCTATTTGAATTTCATTCATAAGATCATCATCATCATCATCATTTTCAAACGGGGCAACATCAATGTAATGATAAAATGTTTAGTTAGTGAAATTGCAAGTTTGTTTGTTTAGTTTTCTTTCGCATATGTTATTATTTCAGTGTAGTTCTTGAACTAAATTTTGTAAAAGTTGCAAATAGAAAACAAAAAATTGGGAATGATGCCAAATCAAATAAGAATCAATAAGAAAATGGCATCATAAAATAAATATGAAAGAAAAAGAAAGTAAGTGAAATTCATGGACAGGAGAAAAAACCAAAGATAAAATCTGTGAATCCATGTGGGTGGAAATAATAATAGTAATACTGAGATTCTGTCTATGGCTTGTTTGTATGTGGTTTGATGATATTTTCAGAATTTTTTCAAATAAAAAAAACAAAAAACTAAACCAATTCACAAGACCTACAAAAAAATAAATAGCTAAAAGTTCATTGACAAACAAACAAATCAATTAGACGAAAAAGTTAGACAAAATTTTCCAAAAAGAATCAATTTTCCCGGTTCGATGAAACGATTATTCTGGATGTAATCCATTATTTTCTCCAGTGAATCATCCAGAATTCAATTAAATTATTTCTTGTTTTTCTGCAGAAAAAATTCTATTTGCATCACATAAATATCATAATCATTATTATTTTTAACAAACAACAAAATTTCAATTTCTTTCGACATATGTTTTGTTTTGTTTGTTTGTTACGAAAAAAAACAAACAATTTCCTAATTGTAAATTTATTTTCCCAGTTTTGATTATTACAAATGATGATGATAAGGAAAATGAAATTGCACCACCACCATATTCCATATATGGAATATTTAGCAAAGAAAAACACCACTTATTTATTATGTGACGAATGTACAAAATATGGCGAGATAGTGAGAATGAAAGAAAAATTGAATGAAATAAAAGCTAAAACCATAAAAAGTAAACAACAGAAGCTATATACACAACAACAACAAAGAGAAAGAAAAACATCCTTCTTCTTTTGATGTTGTTGATGGCAAGGTTGAAGATACATACACACACATAACAAAATAATAATTTAAAATCAATTATAGCCATCATCATCATCATCATTGAGATAATTTCTATTATTGATGAACCATAAATGGTCAATATCAATCAAGTACCGATTGAACAAAAACTATTCAACTAAACAGAAAATTGAATAGATAAACAAACTAATTGTGTGGAATATATATAAAAAGTTTCAAAAAATTTCATAATAATTTTCTGGTAAAAAAAAGATATATTTCCGCTTTGATACAAAAAAAAATTCAGCTAAAATCATCATCATTCGACTAATTCGACCTTGATGAATATATTTATATTTCTCAAAGAAAGAGGAAAGAAACAAAACTAAAGTCAGTTTAAACTCAGTCTAAACAACAACAAAAAGAAAAGGAAAAATAAATTCGACATTGAGAATAGAATATTATGATTGTAGGCGTCATCATCATCATCATTGATGATGATTGGCATGGTTATTCCGTTTTTTTTCGTTTTCATTAAACTAAATTTAGCAACTGAAAAAAAAACTCTCTATATTCGAACTATTTTTTTGTTGTTGTTTGTTTGCTGTATTCGTTTTGATCTCATTCTATTTCACCAATATAATCATAAATGATGTTTTTTGATGATAAATTGAGGCCAATGTCATGTCAAATATATAAACATGTCAATCATTAAATTAGTAAAAAACAACAAAAACAAACAGAAAAAAAGGGTTAAGGTTAAAAATTTTGGTGTTTGGAAACCAAAAAAAAAAACATAATAAAATAAGTAAGTTCAAACTAACCTGTATCCAATTCTGGATCTGGAAGAATATCAATATCTTTTGTTGATGATTGTAATGATGAACATGCTTGTTCAAATTCTTTACGATTAATATATTCTTCATCTTGAAATTTTACTTTACGTGATGGTGTTGTTGGTATTTGTGAACCACCACCGCTACTTGTACGTGATGTTTCTTCACGACGTTCAACATGATATAAACTATAACCAGCCGGTGTATTTCCGTCCATTGTTAATGGACGACTATTAGATTTAAGAACTTTTTGATGATGACCATGTTGATGTTTACAGTTTTCATCAATATGATGTGTTAATTTTGACATTGATGATGAACTTCTTGCTGGCATTGGTGATGTTTGTCGTATATATGGTCCGGATTCTGTTGTAGTTTCCGTTCGTAATGCACCATCACTACCATAACGTGTTGTTTTTGTTGTTGTTTGTTGTGTAGTAAATGTTTTTAAAACACGTTTACCAATACCACCATCAGCAGTTTGATATTCTTGAACAATAGTTTCTAATGGTGATGTTGATGATGTTGTTGTTGCATAACTATAATCCTGTGTTGATGTACCAACACCAGATGATGGTGAACCATCAACAAAAGCTGATGTTATTAATGGACCACCACCACTACCAGATGATAATAATGGAGATTTAGATCGTTCTAAACTTGAATCATATGATGATGATCCACCTTTATTATATGTAGATGAATATTCACTACGTGCTATGAAAAAAAAAATAATAATATCGATTCGAATCATAAATTCATAAATTCAAATGACCAAAACAAAAACAAAATACCTTGATATTGTAAACTGGCCATTATTATTATTATTAATGTTGTTATTCAGTGAAGAAAATGAAATTTAAACGAAAAAAAAAACAATTTATCCAAATTGATGATGATAAATGTTAGCGAAATTAAATCATATCTTGTTATCGATTAGATCGCAATGTTCGAACAAAATTTTTTAAACACAAAAAAACACAAAACAATTTGTCGTCGAATAATGGTCTAAAAAAAAATTTGGAAAAAGAGAAAGAGAAAAAAAAACAGATTCTTCAATCAGCCGTGATTTAAACACACACAAAAAAAATGAAATTTGTGTCTGTTTGAATGTGAAAACAATATATGACTTTCATCAAAAGAAACTATAATGTAATATTATTTGCTTATATCAAATACAAACAAACACAAGAGAAATGAGGGAGAAAAATTTTAAAAGTGTAAAGAAAATTTGAATGTTTTTAGTGGATTGTGTATGATGTGAAAAAAAAGAAGAGAAAGTGAAAATGATATGAGGTGTGTGTAGTGTTAGTGAAAATTAGAATTTAAACAAAACAAAACAAAAAAAAACACTGAAAGAAAAATTGGCAATGAAAAAGAGAAAGGAATGCAGAATGTTTTTTTTGTTTTTGTTTTGCATCATCTTCACCATCACCATCATCATCATTATCAGTGATGCCGACCGAAAAATTTCTATTTGATTCAATTTCAATCAATCAATGAAATATTTCGATCATTATTGATAATTGATGATTTTTGAAAATGCAATTCTTGCAAAATGTTTATAACGATTCTATGATTCTAAAGCTTGTTTTATAAAATGTTTAAATAATAGCTATAAATAGCTTTATATATGATGATGTGGCTGGGGAAAAAACATTATAGATAGATGTTTTTGTGTGTGTGTAAAATAGACAAACCTGAATCGAAATTACAAGAATTACAAGTTGCAAAAAAAAACAAATCTAATTGAAAAAAATGAAAATGATTAAAAAAACATCAAAAAAAAGAAAAGAAAATGACATGTTACCTGTATCAAACAATCCGATCGAATGGAATCATTTTTTGATTTGGACAAACATTGACTCTATTTTTGATTTTCGTTCTCAACAAAAAAAACAAAAATCAAATAACCAAAAAAAGAATGTCTTGGCTCCTCTTGTATGTATGCACATGTATTTTTTTCAGGTGATGAAAAGCAAAAGCAAAAAGGAAATCCTACATATATGTTAAACTTGTCAAATCATTATTATCAGCCCACGTCAATAATTTTTCTTTTTTGTATTTCGTCTTGTCAAGAAGGAAGAAAAAAGAGAATTTTCTAAAATTAAATATTGGGAAAAAAAACGAAATTAAATGGGTGGATTTACAATGACGATCAAACACAAACCTTTTTTTTGGTTGAAATTAGTAGCTTTTTATCAGCGTAGGCGATATAATTCAGTGGGTTGTTGTTGTTGTTGTTGTTGTTCACATTTATCAAATTCATTATTCAAAATCAATTGAGAAAAAAAAATTTTGTGAAAACCGGATCTGACCAAACTCGGATGATCTTTTCATTTATTGATGAATGATGTTTTGTTTTTTTTGATGGTCCATTCCGTCATTTATGAATGAATCGATACGAGTTACGGGAGGTAGTTGTAAAAGAAAATGTTCCGGTTCCTACCTTGTATTCCACGTTGATTTTCCATTTGGATTGATTTTTTTTCTTCTTCTTCTCCTCGTCGTTTCTTCTATTCATCGAATGGCTCCACCAGCATCGTATAAAGGTTATAATCATCAGGGAAAATGTCGTCATCATCAATTATCATCACCGGTTAAAAATGAAATCCGACAACAACTGAATCTATTGAATTTTGTTGAAAATGAATCGCCAGCATTATTCTTGGATGATGATGATGATGAAGAAACCACCACCGTTGATAATGGTATTGATTTGGATCCAAAAATAATAATCGATGATACCAAAACATTGAACAACAACAACAATAATACCAAACCGGCTGTTAATGAGCATAAGAAATCCATGGATTGGCCTGAACTTGATGAAAATCAATCAAAAAAGATGAAAAATCAAACGGAAAAATTGAATAAACGAAAAAATCCACTTTCATTTGTTGCCGCTTTGTTATCGCCGAAAAAAAATTGATTGATTGATTTATAAATCCTTTGATATTTGACATTTTTTTCAAGTTGAATGAAATATTTTTCTTTTTTTTAAACCATACATTTGATATTTGTTTCGGTTTTTTAAATGCTATATTTCAACAAAGAATATCCATTGTGTGATATGGATTTTTTTTCTTTTGGATGACAGATTTCATCATCTTATCATACGATTCGATTCTTTTTGATTTAAACTTTTCATTCGCGATGAATGGATGAAGTTTTTTTTCAGTAAAGCAGTAATTATGGATGTAGTATTTTCAGTTTCTTCTTCTTCTTCTTCATGTTCACAACAACAAAGACAAAAATAAATTTTTTGGTGTGTAGGCGTAAAGACCATTAACAAATACTGCATTTTGTTAATGACGATCAAATTGTTAAAGCCACAATTAACAACAACAACAACAAATCATTTCCGTTGACCTCGTTGAAGAATTTCATCCAAAACATTTTAATGAATATTTTTGAAGAAAAAAAAAATGAAATTCTATGGATAATTATCATTAATTCATTTTGGAAATTGATCAATATTTACCCGATGATTCAATCAAAATTTTACCCGAATTTTCAAGGAAATCAACAACGGGAAATTCGAACAAGTTTCGAACACTTTTCCAATTATGATGATAATGATGATGATGTCGATCCAAATACGAATAGAGCGCCATCCGTTAGCGAATCATCAAAGTATTTTTTCTTTCGAATGTTATAGATTCTATTGTGGAAAAATGGAATTCTGATTCACTTCATTTATTGACTACTATCACACACACACACACACGGAAAAAAGTAGTAGTATTGTTTGAAATTGAATTTCCGCATACCGCTACCAATACTATCTACCTCTGCCTATTTGAAATGACAAGAGGATTCTATATCCAAATGATAGTTGTAGTAGTAGTAGTAGTGGAAGTATCTTTTGATGGATCGACTCATCAAAAAAAAACTTTTTGCCTATTCTTCTTACAGCAAAAGTTCGCTCCTTAAATTTTTTCTGTTTCTGTAATTTTTTTTCTGTTTGTTTGTGTGGCCGATTGATTGTATTTTTTTTTTATTTTTTGTAATTTTTCCGATTTAATTACTAATCAATTTTTATCCGTTTTCTTTTCAATGGTAAAAGTCAGTGAAATTTATCATCATGTTTCGATCATAAATTATTATTGAGGATTTTGGCTGGTTGATGGCAATTTTTTCCGTGTTACTAACAACAACAACAACATCAAATAACAACACTTTTTGCAATCAATATTTGAAAAGATAATCGAAAAATTTGTGTTGGATAAATGATAGAATGATGATGATGATTATCAAATCTGATTACCATAGTATCATTCTGTGCTTGTTTTCTTTTATTGTATTGATTTATTAATTAATCAATCGATCGAATCCAAAAAGAAATCGAATGGGTACGTTTTTTTTGGCGATTGTCATTTTATTGTTTTTTTTTTTGACTAAAGTTAATTTCTCTTTCCACATTCCAGAAATGATCAAAGGATTATGAATTGAAAAATTTTTTATTGTAATTTTTATTATTGAAAAACAACAACAACATAAATCACATTTAAAACGTCTTCCATTTCAACTATCATCATCATCATCATTTTGATTGTGAGCTCAGTGATTTCAATTTTTTCGAATCAATCCGTTATTAATAATGATAATAAAACCATATAACAACAACAACAATCAGGATATGATTCATCGTTGATCATCACCCGTAAAACCTATTTTCGATTCAACCAAAGAAATTTTTAAATTCCAAAAGAATATGATGTGATTACAACGACGAGAACATCTTTTTCTTCAATTTTGCATTTATTCAATGTTTAGGTAATGTTCAAATCTTATGAAATTTCATCCGTTCAATGATCATCATCATCATTCACAAAAATCGATTGTCATTGTCAAATGAAAAATAAAAAAATGTTTGATTTCCGTTTTCGTTTGCCATTTGAACAACAACAAAATGTTATTGCAAGTTTTTATATGATAAAATGTTTTTTTTCTAATAACACACAAGGGCTTGTCCTGTTTTGAAAAAAAAATTAATGTTTGTATTGTCAATGTGGCTCTGTTGTTGTGTGTTTAGTTTAGTTTTTGTTAGTTTTGATATTTAGCAATGTGAGATGTTATAATCATATAATCATCATGATATATACAATCGATCAGAAAGAAAAAAAAACTATAGAAACGCCTGGTTAAAAGGATGAAATACGTCACATTTTTTCCCTGTGTATGCCACAAATGATGATGATGATGATAATGGTTTTTATTTTATCAAACACAGAGAGAGAGAAATTTACTAAATTTTTATTTTTTATTTTTCCGTTCATTCACACACAGATTTACATAGACATCAACTTTAAATTATAATTTGTAAGGATAATTCCATCCTTATCATCATCTGTGCCAATCAATCATCGAATTTCATAATTTCTTCTTCATCATCTGCATTTTTTTTCCTAATTAAATATATCACCAAATACAAAAAAGTAAACAACGATGCCATTAGAACAAAGAGTTATACAACCAATTTATGTATCACGTGGTTGTTTTCAACCAACCGGTAATAATATATCAACAACAAATAATCAACCAATATCATTACCAAATATACCAAATGAATTAGAATGTGTTACAAATGGTACACTTGGTAATATTATTAGACAATTATCATCATTATCAAAACATGCTGAAAATTTATTTGGTTGTTTATTGGATGATTTACAATCAATGTTACAACGTTCAGCACAATTACAAACAAGAATTGAACAATTATCACAACATGTTGAACATTTAGATTCATCATCATCATCACAGGATAATTCTCATTATAATGATCCTTATTATTATCGTCATCAACAACAAACAATGATGATGATGATGATGACAATAAGAAAACCAATTATACATCGTAGTGGTGGTGGTGGATCGACAGGTATTTCATCTACCGGTAGTGGTGAACAATTTGATCAACAAGTTGTTGCACGTACAACAATACCTGATTCATTACGTGAAGTATATCAACGTTGTGATCCACCACCATCATTAGATAAATTAAATCCATTTCGTGATGATAATATTAATGGTTTAACGCTTTATACGAATCCAAATTATTTTTTCGAATTATGGCGTAAAGAAATGTTACAAGAACCACATTCATCCAAACATTCACGATCAACAAAAATTGCCAAAAATAAACAACAACATCATGGTGGTGATATACAGAATACATCAGGTGGTTCATCGAAATCATCAACAAAACGAAATCGTCAACAAACATCAGCGAATAAACAATTACATTATCAATCATCAACTGATTCAAATTCATATGGACAATTGCCACCACCACCACCACCTTCCCAGCAACAACAACAACAATATTATCCATCAACAAATCAGCCAACTTCTCATTATCATCCGGGTTTTTATACGACACAACAACAGCAACAACAAATGGAAATTTTAACAGCAAAACAAATAATACCAGGATCTGGAACAGGATATACTGTGATTGAAGGATCATATATAGATCCAAATAATTATCAACATCATTATGTACAACATCATCAATATAATAATAATAATAATAATAATACTAAACCTACATCGATACCTTATCAACAGCAACCTGGATTACAACAACAACAACAATCAGCTAGACCTAATTCTCTGGAATTACAACATCAACAGCAGCAACAACAACAACAACAGAATTATTATTATCAAAATAACCAACAACAACAATCCGGTTATAATTTATCATCTGGTCAAACAAGAATGATTTCAACACAGCAACAACAACAACAACAATATGGAACGACAACAATGCCATATGGACAACAACAACAACAACATACACCACCTCAACAATATTCTCCAAGTGCTAATATGGCCAATAATAATAATACAACACCAACAAGACGTTTATCTGCTGCTCAAGTATCAAGGCCTTCAGCACCGCCACCTGCACCACCAGGTGGAAGTGGTAGTAGTTCCAGTGCAAATTCTCAGCCAGGAACACCAAGAAAAACGTCAATGATGATGATCAATGGACAGGAAGTAGAAATGCGACAAGATTCTATGAATAATAATCGAATGGTTTCAAGAGATTCACTTCCACCGCCACCACCACCACCACCTCCTCCTTCTGCTTCACAAAATGCTCAAATGTCAAATGGAATGGCTAATGATATGATTGATACATCATTACCACCTCCTCCGCCACCTCCCCCTCCAACAGGAGCAATGACAACCACTTCATTCAACAATAATAATAATAATACAAATTCAAACAGTTAGTATATTTAAATAATTTAATCAATTTGGGTGTAATTTGTTTTTTAAAAATGCTATTTTAATAGATAATTATACCTCAACACCTCCACCACCACCACCAATGAATGGAAATGGTATGATTCCGATGAAAAATCAACAAGCATCATATAAACAACAAACAGCAAATAAACCGACAGCTGAAGAATTAAAATCTGTTGTCCTTAAAAAAATCGATCCAAATTCATTAACACAATCGAATGCTAATGATGATGTACGATCAAATTTATTGGCCGCCATAAGACATGGTATAAAATTGAAACGTGTTGCTGAAGAAAAGAAAAGAGAAGTTGAACAAAATGTTCCATTACATGATGTTGCATCAATATTGGCACGTCGTGTTGCATTAGAATTATCCGATTCAGATGGTGTTGATGGTGGTGATGATGATGATGATGGAAATGAAAGTGATCCATGGGATGATGAAAGTGAATGTTGAAAACAATAACAACAACAAAAAACCACCACCATCCATCATTGTTTGCACAAATAATTTCGAATTATTCTTATCCGTGTTATCAAAAATTTTTTCTTCTTCTTTATCAAACATATATTTGTAGATAGTCGAACAAACAAAGGGGAAAAAAATTTTGGCTACTATCTCCCCAACATTCTATTCACTTTGTGTATATTTATTTTCTAAAAACAAAAATTTAGCTACCATTCATTCGAGAAAAATCAATCGATGATAGTTTATTTATTCAAAACAACAACAACAAAACTTTATATCCTCGAATATTGATTGATTGATTGATTATATAAACACAAGAAACCTTTTTTTTCCACTTTATCATCTTTCAATCAATCAATCAATCGATTTCAATATTTTCAATTATTCTCTACTTATTCATTTGATTTGATTTTTTGTTTCCATTACCATCATTTTATCATCACCAAAGAAAAATGAAAGTTTTGTGTGTATTCTAATGGAGAAAAATTCTTTTTTTGCTTTTTGTTTTGATTTGAAAGTTTTCTAAAATTTTTTTATAATTAAATGAATAGAATTTGGAATTTTGTTTGTTTGCTGGAAACTTTTCTTTTTTTTTTGGTCGGTATAAATTTCCGTTGGAAATATTTCTTGAGTAGAATTTGTTTTGTTTTGGTTTTTTCGTTTCTGCTCGGTCAAGAATTTTTTCGTTAATTTCTGTCAAGAACAATGTCGAATGATGTAAAAGATAATCGAATTGATGAAACTATTGTTCAGGTACCAGAACCGAAAATATTTTTTCGTAAAAATTTTCAGGAAAGATTAACAATATTGAAACCATTATATTTGTATACATTGATTGAATATTTAGAATTATTGGATGATTATCGACAAAAAAATCCAATGAATGATTGTTTGAAACAGATTGATAATGTTGATGATAATAATGGTAAATCATTGGATAATGATGATAATAATCAAACATTTCAGGAAAAAATTCAAAATGTTTTTGATCATCAACAATTAAATAATAATAATGATAATAATCATAGTTATCGTAAACATTTAATTGAAAATGTTCATTTTGATAATGATGAACAAATTGATCAATTATTGGAAATGATTGATGAACGTTTAGAACGTATTCAATTGATGGCCATTTTACATGATCAAAATGGTAATCAACAACAACAACCACAGCAACAACATTTTTCATCGGTTCAACGATCATCAAAACAACAACAACAACAACAAAAGATTTTCAAAAATGAAGTAATCGATCTTACTACTTATCAACATAATGATAATGAAGATGAACCGAAATCGTTGAATAATTCGAAACCATCATCATCATCATTTGTACAACTTGATGGACACATTCTACCATTACCGGAAGAATTTTGTCAAATGGAAATTAATCAACAAAATCGATTGCTTGAATCATTACCAAAGGAAATACGACAAAAATATTCTCGATTATGTTCCAAACATTTATCCTATGTTTTTTTGCAATTTTTTTCCAAATTTTTGAAAGAATTTTGAATTTTCAAAAATTTTTTTGATAATTTTAGTACAATGTTCATTCAATAGATGACGTTGTCTTTGAGTAATAAAAACTATGATTGCATTGCCATCTGTTGATGAAAAATGTTGTAATTTAATCGAACAAAACAAACAAGGGTACATATGCATTTGCTAACTAACCGATCGTCAGATTTAATTTCATTTTCTAAAAACATTTGACCAAAAATAACAAAAACATGTTTGTTTTACGGCGAACCATAATTAATCGACAATTTAATCATTCTTGTCGTCGTTTATTTTCATCATCATCCGGATCAATAGAACCGGGAAAAGCTCGATATAATCTTGATTCGAAAATTGCATTGGTTACTGCATCAACCGATGGGTGAGAATTACTGAAAATCTTTTTTGGTTTTTTGGAAATTTTGAAAATAAAAATTTAGTTTTTGTTGTTTAGAATTGGATTTTCAATTGCACAACGTCTTGCACAAAGTGGTGCAACAGTAATCGTTAGTAGCCGAAAACAGGCGAATGTTGATCGTGCCATCAAACAATTACATGATGAAGGATTTAAATCGGCTACTGGTTTAGTTTGTCATGTTGGTAAATCTGATGATCGTCAAAAATTGACCGAATTTGTATGTATAATCTATATTCAAATATTCAAATGTTGAGTATTCAAATTGGCCAATTTCCCGAATCCAAAATAGATTGTTGATAAATACAAAGGTTTGGATATTTTTGTTTCGAATGCTGCAATCAATCCTGCCATTGGAGCTATACTTGATGTAAGTAAATTTCGTTTGAATTTCATTTTTTTAGATTGTAAATAAAATGAAACAATTTTTTTTCTTGCAGAGCGACGAAGGTGTCTATGATAAAGTAAGATATCATAATATTCGTATTTTGAACAATTAAAATGATGCTAAATGATGATTAATAATAGATTATGGATGTAAATGTTAAAGCACCATTTTTGTTGACCAAAGCATTAGTACCACATATGGAAAATCGACCGGGTGATAAATCGATTGTTTATATTAGTTCATTTGTTGGCTATCAAATGATGCCATTATTGGCAACATATTCATTATCGAAAACAGCGCTTATTGGTCTTTCTCGAATCGTTGCTGTTGATTGTATGTTGTTGTTGATTTTTTTTCTTATTTGTAAATATAGTTTTTATGAAAATTTTTGTCCATTAGGTGCTAGCCGAAATATTCGTGTTAATTGTGTTTGTCCGGGCATGATTAAAACAAAATTCAGTGAAGCTTTATGGCAAAATCCTGATTTTGAAGAAGAATTTCATAAAATGGTTCTTATCAAACGGTAATTTTTACATGTTTTATTGATGAATGATTTCAATTAATTTTCGAAATCCAAAAAAAGTATGGGAAAACCCGAAGAAATGGCCAATCTTGTTACGTTTTTAGCATCAGAAGAAGCATCTTATATAACGGGTGAAAGTTTTGTTGCAAGTGGTGGAATATTTTCTCGATTATAAATCACAGCTGTTTGTTGATTTAATCTTTAATTTACAATTAAAGATTTGATTGTTTTTGTTCAAATGAATAAAATTTTTAAATTCAAAAAAAAAAATATACTTTAGAAATGATTTGCTATTCGGTGTGGTCGCGCGCAAACTGTTTGAATCGTTTCAAAATCACGTGACCACATACATGCCACGCCTACAAAAACCAAAATAGAATTGATTAAATGATCATCCATTCATAAACAAAGTGGTCAATTGACATGTGTTTTTTTTTTATTGAAAATTCTTTCGTTGTTCTTGAAATTTTGAAATCCAAAAAAAAACATTTAGTTATTATCAAATAATCATTATGGAATCATCCGCAACTGCTAATAATCCGGCAGCAATGTTGAATAATCAACGTCGAATGCAAACAATTGTTGATAATCTGAATAAGATGCGTGCCGAACAACGTTCATTATCGCAAAAAGTTTCCGAACTTGAATCCGAAGCAACTGAACATCGGTAATTCGGAAAAAACTCGAATTTTATCATTTTTTAAAAAATAATTTTTTTTTTACTTTTAATCAGACTTGTAATCGATGCATTAAAAGAAGTGAACAATGATCGTACTTGTTATCGTTTGATCGGTGGAATACTTGTACAACAAACTGTTGATAATGTACGGCCAGAATTGGAAAAAAATTTCGAAATGGTATGTTTTGATTCAATTCAGATAAGATAATAATCAATGTTATTTTTTTCGAAAAAAAGCTCAAAAAAACAATTGAAACCTATCGTGAAAGTGTTAAAACAAAAGGAACAGCTATTAATGAATATATTCAACAACATAATCTTGGTCCATTGATTCGTAATGCTGTCGATGGTGGTGGTGGCGGTGGTGGTATAACATCATCAGCAGAAAAATCGAATGTTTCAACCATATCTGGTGATGGTTCGGCTAATAATGAAAATAAATCTAAAACCAAAGATTCATCTAAATCATCGATTTTAGTTGAATAAATCATTCTTTTTTAACCCTTCACCCTCCCTTACAATCTAAAAATCTGTAAATATTTTCCAACCAAAAATTGTTTGGAAAAATAAAGAATTTTTTTTAATAAAAAATAAAATTTCAATCAGATTTTTTATGATCACAGTTTTCATCACTATCATCATCATCATTATCAATAAATGTTTCGGCCATTAAAACATGTGAAATATTCCAATCATTTTCGTTGATTTTTTTCCATATTTTTGACATATTTTTCATATGTATTTCGATTGGATTTCTATCGTTCGATGATAATCGATCCATATTTCTTAATATAAAAACTAAACATAATGCTTCAATCATTGATGTTGATTCGTTGGAATGCAAATAAATTACGATTTGATGATTTGATTGATAATCAATCGTGAATTGATTATTCAAAGGATCTTTGATCAATTTTGAATTGTTTGTCAATGTTTGTTGTTGTTTTTGTCGTTGTTGAATAAAATGAACATTTTTAAATATTTGATCATGTTTGGTTGAATAAAAAAACCAAACATTTTCCTCTCGGTTGATTGAATCGATTGATAGATTTTTGTTGCTGTTGTTGTTGTTGAAATGAAAATTATCTAAAAATATTGCCAAACGTTTTTTATTAAAAACTTCAATACGTACTGATCGTACAGCACGATAATTTGAATAAATATGACCAGTTGTAAATACTGTAAACATTGTCCATATTAATCTACAAAAAGAAAAAAAAGAAAGAAAGAAAATGAATTAAAAATTCTTGTTTGGAATGCAAAATCCATACATGGGCTGTTCGGAAACAAACGGAATAAATATTAATGAAAAAATCAATGCAATCAAATTGACAATTCTTTCTTGGCTTTGATCTTTGGCTGAAACATCGGCCATATTATTACATTTAGCTTGCTGATTGGTAATTTATGAAAAAAAACAATATTTTTTAGAAATTAGAAAAATTTTTAATTCCAACATACATGTTGTGTTAAAGCTGCACGTGTTGCACCACCAGCAATACCAACCAATGATCGTAATATCCCTGAACAACATTGTATAATTGTAAAATAATGACCAATAAAAATTGGACTCAATAAATCAATCAAAATAGCCAAATCATTAATAAGATCGGCAAATAAACGCCAATGTTTACAATTCGAATCCATTTGTGTACATTGTATGGTTGCAAATATTAATGATCCAATGATTGATGTACCATCTTATGATTGGAAAACAAAGAAAACAAAAATTTCAATTGATTCTAGAAACAAATCAAATAAGATTTAAGCAAAAACCTTTAAGTATCCAGGTTATTGTTGCAGCTAAAACAGTAGCTGATGAATCACCAACACCAACACCTTTAAATAATGCTTGTGTTGCTAAATTATTCATTATACTTGAACAAAATGCCTGTATACTATCCCAACATTGATATTCAAGATAATCATTACTGACCGATCGTGGATAACCATTCGGTAAAAATGCTTTCTATGAAAACATTACAAAGAAATAACAATTTTTAATCAATAAAAAAACCAATCCATTCATATCAATCAAACCTTTAATATTCGTTTTAATTTCATTTAATTTTGATTACTTGATTGATTGATTGATTGAAGAATATTCTTTCATCAAGAATTTTTTTAACACGAGTTACGTTGATCAAAAAAACAAAACAAGGACCGTTCATAAACAATGCTACATTGTTTTTTTTCGTTCGAATGTTTCCTTTTGGTGTTCGACATCCGAGTTTTGATCTTTGTTTTTTTGGTTGTTTTTCGAAGTAAATTATCATTACTTTTCATCATTATCATAAAAATAATAATTTGGTATTAAAAATGGTTTTCTAGTTGTCGATGTTGTTGTTGTTGTTGCCGGTGTTATTGTTGGTTCATCCTCACAATGTATGGTTTCATTCAATGATGGCCACCACCACCATGAATCATCAGGAATCGAAACTTCTGGTATTTTACCATGATGATGATGATGATGATGAGTTGGATAGAATATAAAATTCTGATAATTAAGCCAAAATTTGGCCATATTTTCGTCATTTTTTACCGCTGGTTTTGGTGTCGTCGATGATAATAATCCATCAGCCATAAATTGATGAAATTTTAAATGTAAACGATATAAATCTTTTATTGTATGATTATTTGAATGATAAAGTTTATGAATATTTCCGATACCGCCAAGAAAATGAACAACAGGAGAATTTCCATTCTGTACGCGAAGAAAAAGACAAAAAGAAACTATAAATTAAATCAAATCCCGAAAGTAATTTTCAATCAAACCATTATTGATGATGATGATGACAACGTCAACAACAACATCGTTATTATCAAAATTTTTATCATCATCATCATCATCATCATAATATCCGATAAATCAATAAAGTCCAGCAGGTATGTAACATCGATCTAAAAATTCCAAATAAAAAACCATTTATATATGTTAATAACGGTATTTTTTTGCCTGGTCATTTTTCTTTCCAGATTACAAAATGATCATTTCGGATCAGAAAAAAAACAACAACAACAACGAAAGGAAGAGAAATTCAATGATCCGGAAGATAAATTGATCGACCATCTTGATGACATCATCATCAAATAATTAAATTTTTCGAAAGAAATCTTAATATATTTTCAATGATAATAATAACAGTTTCAATCAATCAATCAATCAATCAATAATGCTAAATCATTGAAAATTTGTCATCATCATCCTTATAATCACTATGAACAAGCAACAGATATAGAGAATCTATTCTTAAGGTTTGGATTTCTGTTCTTTATTTGAAAACGAAAATTCTTTGGCAAAATAACATTTACATTTACGCAATGAATTCAACGAAAAAAATTGTTTTATCTCGAAATATTTCGGAAAACAGATCAATTGTTATTCAAAGTGATAATAATAATAATTAATCACTGTTGTTGTTGTTGTTGGCGAAAAAAAATCAATTCTTCATTCTCTCTTTCTCTCTTTATGGACAAAATATTTCATTATTGCCATTGTCGTCGATGATGATGATGATGATGATAATGTTGAATGTCAAATGCACTACCATCATCAACGGACAACCACAACAACAACGACCGAAAAAAAACATGCTGAATATTTGATTTTTTTGTACATTCATGAAAAATCTATTCTCGACCAATATTGAACATTGCAAAACAAAAAAAAAATCGACAACCGAAAAAAAAACAGCAAAATGCCAAAATAAAATAATCAATCGATCCATCGATCCATCAATCAAGTATTGAAATGAAAATTTATCATTCATCTCTCTCTCTCTCTGTGTGTGTGTTTGTGTGGTTTTCATTAGATTTTTATGTTTTTAGTATCTATATAGTGAAAAATAGTGAAAAGAATCGACTCCGAAATCCAGAAACAAAAAAATCAAAATCATTTCGATCGATTCATGAATTGGAGAATGATGATGGCCTGTAGATTCAAACCAAACCACCAATTCAATAGCAACAGCTACTTTGATATATTGTTTTCGTTTCTGTTTTGGTGACAGTAAAAGAATTGATATTTGAAAACATCTCTCCTGGAACATCTTTCTGAACATCCCGTCTGAATTCAATTTCGATCAAACAAAAAAGACGGAAAAAAACAAATGAAATGAAATGAAACAGTAAAACATTTCATATACAAAATTATTATTCGTTGTTTTATTTCATTTTGTTCATCATTCAGCACATGCACAACATCAAAAACAACAACAACGACAGTAAATTATTGATGATGTTTCTTTCTTTCGTTTGTTTGAATAAACTACAAAATCGGGCAAACATTGGGAAAAAAAATCATCATCATTATTATTATATATAATACACGCAAATAGACGACCATAGACATCAAATCAAAGAAAGAAAATAAATCCAATGGTAAGTCTTTTTTTTTTGTTTTCCCCTTTCATTTGATTACTTTGTTACTTTTTTTTTGGGTAAATATTCTTCTTTGATAAATATCATTTCATTTACCCTGTTATGATTTATTCATCATAATCATCTACTTCGTCATCGTCTTTCTTCGTTGCCGTTTTTTTTAAATATTTATTTACTTCTGGGATTTTAGATTCAATCAGATTTTGTCTAATATTTTTTCAATGAATTTTTTGTTTATCTTCTTTTTTTTCTTGCAGAAAAAAAAAGAAAATCCTATGCAATCCCAATGATGATTTAAGTCTTTGTTTTTGTCGAAAAACAACTTGACTTTTCGAAATAAAAAATTTTTTTTATTGTTTCGCACAACATAATTTATATGGTCCAATAATAAGTCAATTAGAAAAAAAAATGAAAATAACATTTGGCTTTTTTTCGCATAGGAATATCAATTATCAATTATCAATCAAATCAATAAACCAGCAAAAAAAAATTGCTGAAAAAACCCCCCATACACAAATCCAATAGATTAGCTATTTGAATGTTTCTCTCTCTCTCTCTCTCTCTCTCTCTCCCTCTCCCTCTACATTACCACCATCATCAATTTATTATTAAATTTATTATCATCATCATGATTATCATCGTAAACAACAAAATATTTAGTCCTAAATAAATAAATAAATAACAGAGGGAGAGAGAGAGACAGAAATCTTTATGAGAGAAAATTTCGATAAACAACAAACAATGATTATGATAATGATAATAATGTTGATGATGGTAAGATTATTATTATTAGGGTCTGACGTCTTTGTTTTTCTTCAATTTTTTTTGTTGGTATAATATCTGTTTGGTTGATTATGGTATGTACCGATTAATAATCGTTTATCATAGTCGATATCGAATAATAATAATAATAATAATATCATTATTATTAAAAAAACTATAGTATAATATCGTTCATCGTTTTTATTGATTTGATTTATTCTTCATTCAAACTGCTACTTCTATCCACTATTATCATTATCATCATCATATTTTATGAAATCATACCATGTGTGTCAAACAACCATCATCATTCGTTAGAAGAAACGAATCTCTATTTCTATGAATCCAACTGTTGTTGTTGTTGTTTTTTTCGTTAAATATTAATTCATTTTTTATTTTTACTATTTACTTTTTTGATAATTTTCCAAGAAATTCTTCCTCTTTTTCTTCTTCTTTGAAAAAAATCCTTCAGATTTTCTTTTCTTTGCTCTATATATATGTATTGCAATCACACAAAAATACGGTAAGTAGGATTTAAAATTTTGAATCAACGAAAAAAAAACTTTTTTTTCCCATTTAATACTTTGTATGCATGTATCTTTGGTGTTTTCCACTCTTTCTGTAGTAGTTGTTGTTGTTGTTGAAATTAATGATGATGGTTATCTGAATAAAATGATAAAAATTTATGCATGTTATCAATTTATATTTGAAATGTAGCAAACTGAAACATTTGAATGAAAAATATTTTCATAAATTGGTTTTTAAACAAAACAAAAACAAAAAAATCATATTTCAAATTTCTTTTCAAAATGAAATCTGATTAGATTCAACACACAGAATTTCAGAATTTGATATTCAAAACAAATCAAACAAATCCAAAAAATTGATATTTTTTGTTGTTGTTGTTGGAGACATTATAGTTTTGTCAATTAAAATTCTTTAATTGACAAAAAAAAGAAAAAGAATTGCACTTGTAAAACGATCAAAATTCTTTTGATTTTTCAATATTGAATTCTCATTATTATTCATTTCTTTAATAATTCATAGAAAAATTTGATATTCCTAAAGGGAAAAAAAGTGATTCAATCATTCAATCAATCAATTTCAAACATCGAAGAACAAGAAGAAAAAGAAAATTCCATCAACCATTTATGTTTATTTTCTTGGAATTTTCGATTTGTAAAGAAGAAGAAATTTGATTCAATCAGGAAAAACCTGTGTGAAAAAAATTTGACAAATTTTTTTTTTGTTTTGATTTTTTTTTTTGAAATTTTGAAATTCCAAAACGCAAAAACAAAAAACATTCGATTTTCGCATACATAAAAGACGTAACGGATGTTATTACTCAAAACGAAAAAAAAAATTCCAAAGAATCCATAATGGAATGACCATCAATCAATTTTTGTTTTGTTTGTTTTTTGTTTTTTTGGAAAAACTGAAAAATATTTTTTGTTTTTTTTTTGCATAATGTACACATGTTTAGTTTATATCAAATGTATCCCCATCCACAAAAAAAAATTGAAAGTTATTTCATCTCATTTAACCAACAAAAACTAACGAAATTTGATGCAACCATCAAATCAACCCAATCATCATCAAATATCCATATTTTTCTTATCTTTTTTGAATCTATAGTGAAAGAAAGAAAGAAGAAACAATTTTCTGCTGCTATTTGTTTATATAATAATATAAAAATGTCTAAAAATAGCTCTCTCTTTTTTGACGATGATGATAATAACCAGAAAAGAAAAGAAACAAAAAAAAAATTTGATATTTGTATTTGATTTTTTGATAATTGATTTTGAATGAAATTGAATTTGGATATTTTTGTAACAACAACAGTTAGTTAGTTATTTGGTTGGACAATTATTAAAGTGGTTATTATTATGTGGGTTGTTTTCGTTTGTTGTTGTTGTTGTTGTTAATATTAATTCAATTCAATTCACTCAATCACTTACCTGTAAAACACACGCCTAAATAAACAAAATAAAATTAATATAAACAATCGATCAAACAATTCTTTCTTTTTTGGGTAAATAGTAACTATTTAAGATCTCCATATTGTCATTGTTGTTGTTGTTGTTTTTAGCAAATGCCATGCATCAAATGAATGATAATCATTATTATTAGAATACATTTTGTTGTTGTTAACACTTTGATCGACTGTTTTAAAATTATTTTTTCATCAGTATTTTTTTTTGATGATAATGAATATCAATGATGTTTGGATAATGTTTTTTAGATCGATTTTTTTTGCTCGTATAAGATTTGATAATAGATTGTTTTACAAAGTGTTAATTTAAAGGAAAACAAAACCCTTATAATAATGACAATATAATCATCATCATCATCATCATTTTAATATTTATTTATTTTTTTCATAGTAAACATCCATTCGATCATGATGATGATGGTGGTTACCGGTAGTGAGAGTGTGTTGTAATTTCGTTATAATCGGTTTTTTTTGTTTTGTTTTCTTTGCTATAATTTATTATTATTATTGTTGCAGGTTGTCATCGAAAGAGAGAGAGAGAGAGAGAGAGAGAGAGAGAGAGAGAGAGAGACAAACATTCAAATAGCT